ATTTGGAAACTTACATCAAGGACTTTGACATCCTGTGGAATCATGCAGAAATTGATGAACGGTATGCCTTGATCTTCTTTTTAGGAGGACTGGAAACTAAAATAAAAAATTTGGTTAAAATATTCGAACCAAAATCCCTTAAACAAGCCTATAACCTATCCCGCTTGCAAGAAAACACTAACCTCTATAAGAAATTTCAAAAACAGTTAACCAAACACCCAACCATACCTGTTAATAACAATAACAGGACAACTTAACGACCATCTTTTTACAAAACTTATAACCCTCACGAGACACCACCCTCTAAATTGTTATAATTATTACCCACCCCTCAAACATTAATTACTACTCAGCCTACGAGAAGACTAACTAGAACTCTCAATAGTACTGAAATGGAAGAACGAAGAGCAAAAGGATTATGTTTTTGGTGTGATGATAAATTCACTCCAGGGCACAAATGTAGAACAAAAAGGCTTTACTCTATTTGTTTAGTGGGAGATGAGGATGAGAATGAAGACAGTACATTTGAGTCTGTGAGGGAGATGGAGGAATCAGAAGATATAGACCCGTACATTTCCATGAATGCCTTATAAGGGGTTCCAGGCTGCTATACTTTTAAGGTGACAGGAAGGGTGCATAAGCTACCTATCTTTATTTTGGTAGATTCGGGGAGCACGCACAACTTCATGAATATGAAGGTCGCCAACAAATTACAGTGCAAACAAACCCCTATCAATCCAGTAACAATGAAGGTAGCCAATGGGGGAAAAATTCTATGCTCATCCATATGCAAAAACTTCAGTTGGAAGATGCAAGATATTTATTTTGTGACAGATGTCCTTGTTATGGATCTGGATGCATGTGATATGGTTTTAGGTGTTCAATGGTTAGCTAAACTAGGAGAAATTGTGTGCAGGAGCATGTGGATGAGTTTTGATTGGCAAGGGCAAAGAGTGACACTAAATGGAAATGAGCCGGTAAGATTACAATCAGTCCAAGTGGAAGGAATGATCTCTGAAATGATTAGTGTTGGAATAGTCCAACCAAGCCACGGTTCGTTTGCTTCCCTTATCGTGCTTGTGAAGAAAAAAGACTTTATATGGCGATTATGTGTCAACTATAGGGCCCTCAACAAATTGACCATCAAAAATAAATTCCCCATTCCATTAATTGAAGAGCTGCTAGAAGAGTTAACAAGGGCAGCAATGTTCTCAAAAATTGATTTACGCTCTAGCTACCACCAAATTCGAATGAACTCCAAGAACATCTATAAAACAGCATTCAGAACACACAACGGATACTATGAGTTTTTAGTGATGCCCTTTGGTCTTACTAACGCCCCTGCTACCTTTTAAAGCCTGATGAATGAAGTGTTTAGAGCTCAATTGAGGAGGTTTGTTCTAGTCTTTTTCGACAACATTTTAATTTACAGCAAATCTTATACAGATCACATGGAGCATCTACAGGTAGTTTTTGCAATACTCAGGACACACAAACTGGTAGCAAAGGAAAGAAAATGTGTCTTCGGTGATGACAAGGTAGAATACTTGGGTCATGTTATCTCTAAGGCAAGAGTGGCTACCGAACCAGAAAAGTTACAAACAATTAAGAAGTGGTCGTTACATGAGAACATTAAGCAATTACGGGGGTTCCTAGGGCTCACGGGGTATTACAGAAAATTTGTAAAAGGATATGGCATTATTTATCGCCCCCTCACCAAACTTCTTAAAAAGGACGTTGTGGAGTGGGACCAGGAGGCAACTTTGGCTTTCGAAACCTTAAAGAAAGCAATGATTAATCCTTCAGTTTTAGCCCTACCTAACATGAATAAGCCTTTTATCATCAAAACAGATGCATCAAGATTGGGCATTGGGGCAGTCTTAATGTAGGAGGGGCATCCGATAACATTCATCAGTAAGGCTTTGGGGCCAAGGCAGCAAGGATTGTCCACCTATGAAAGGGAAATGTTGGCCATTTTGTAATCGTTAACCAAGTGGAAGCAATACTTATGGGGTAGAACTTTCAAGATCAGAACAGACCATATGAGTCTTAAGTATCTGCTGGACCAAAAACTATCTTCTCCCTCTCAACATTTATGGCTATCTAAACTATTGGGCTTCAATTATGAAAATTAAATTCGGAAGGGG